CATTGTCAGATATAGTACCAGCAGATGAACACATTATAAGTAGCACCAGAACATTGTCAGATATAGTGCTAGAAGATGAGCCGCTCAGGTTGGAAAGATAGCTGGAGAAGAGCTGCCTCCTCAAAGGAGATTTGACCACAATGACAAGAATGGTTCAAAGCTTTCAAGACCTTCATGTGCTGATGGGGCACAACTCAAAATAAGGGGAAAGAGCTGCAAAGATCAATTCATAATCAATACATGGACTGTATGATGTATGAATCTAGGAAAATTGGAAGTTATCACAGATGAAATGGAATACATAAACATCAATATCCTAGGCATTAGTGAATTAAAATGAACTGGCATTCGACATTTTGAATCTGACAGGCATATGGTCTACTATGTCAGGAACAGCAAAATCAAGAAGAATGACATCACATTCATTACCAAAAAGAACATTTCAAGATCTATCTTGAAGTACAGTGCTATCTGGAAAGGATAATATCCATATGCCTAGGAAGACCAGTTAATACCACTATTATTCAAATTTACAAATCAATCATAATGATGAAATTGAAGAACTCTACCAATTTTTTCAGTCTGAAATTGATCAAACATGTAATCAAGATATATAGATAATTAGTGGTGATTGGAATGCAAAAATTGGAAACAATGGAACAGGAGTTGAAAATTTTGGCCTTGGTGATAGAAATGATGCTAGCGATCACATGATAAAATTTTGCAAAACCAATGACTTATTCATTGCAAATGCCTTTTTAAACAACATAAAAGGTGACTATATACATGGACCTCACAAAAGAATTTACTACATCTATGAGAAGAGATGGTGGAAACACTCATCATCATAAGTGAAAACAAGGTCAGAGACCTACTGTGGAACAAATCAACTTGCTCATATGCAAGTTCAAGTTGAATCTGAATAAAATTAAAACAAGCTTTCAAGAGACAAAATATGATTTGTTATTAGGTGCCATCTAGTCAACTCTGACTCACAGCGACCTTATACACAACAAAATGAAACATTGCCTGATTCTGCATCAATTTCACAATCGCTATTACTCTTGAGCCCATGGCTGCTGCCACTATGCCGATCCATCTCACTGGGGATCTCTCTCTTTTTCACTGACCTTCCATTTTACCAGGCATGATGTCCTTCTGCAAGGACATGATGTCCCTCCTGGTACGTCTGATATGAGAGACGAAGTCTGGCCATGTGGGCTTCTAAAGAACATTATGGTTGTACTTCTTCCAACACAAATTTGTTTGTTCTCCTGGCAGTCCATGGTACTTTTGATATTCTTCTCCAGTACCGTAACTCAAAAGTATCAATTCTTCTCTAGTCTTCCTTATTCATTGTCCAACTTTCACATGCAGATGAAGCTATTGGAAATACCATGGCTTGGGTCAGGTGAACCTTAGTCCTCAAACCGATGTCTTTGCTTTTGAACATTTGAAGGAGGTCTCGTGGAGCAGCTTTGACTAATGAAATATGTTGCTTGATTTCTTGACTGCTGCTTCCATGAGCGTTGATGCTAGATCCAAGCAAAATGAAGTCTTGACAATGTTGATCTTTTCTCCTTTTATCATGATGTTATTTATTGGTCTGGTGGTGAGGATTTTTGTTTTCTTTACATTGAGTTGCGACCCATACTGAAGACTGTTGTCTTTGATCTTAATTAGCCATCAAGGTTGTATCATCTGCATATAACAGGTTGTTAATGAGTCTTCCTCCAATCCTGATGCCATTTTCTTTTTCATATAATCCAGTTTACAGCATACAGATTGAATAAGTATGGTGAAAGAATACAACCCTGACACACACTTTCCCTGATTTTAAACCATTCAGTGTCCCCTTGTTCTATTAAAATGACTGCCTCTTGGTTATGTACAGGTTCCTCATGAGCACAATGAAATGTTCTGTAATACTCGTTCTCTCCAATGTTGTCCATAGATTGTCATGATTCACCAAGTAGAAAGCCTTTGAATAGTCAATAAATCACAGATAAACATCTTTCTTGGCTTTCAGCAAAGATCAATCTGACAGCAGCAATGATATCCCTTGTTCCATATTCTCGTCTGATTCCAGCTTGAACCTCTGGAAATTCCCTGTCAATGTACTGTTGAAAAGTCCATGAAAGCCAAAATATGGCCTTGAAAATATTCCCTCTGAACTTAGAGATCATCTCAAGAACAGATTTGATGCATTGGATACTAATGAATGAAAACCAAAAAAAATGTGGGATGACATCAAGAACATCATGTAGGAAGAAAGCATAAATGAGGAGGCAAATGAACTGAACAGACTATTTCAAAGATGGCAAAGCTCAAGAAGACAAAGTCAAGTATTATAATGAAATGTGCAAAGACATGGCATTAGAAGAACAAAAGGGAAAGACACAGTCAGCATTCTCAAGCTGAAAGAACTGAAGAAAAAAATCAAGGCTTGACTTTCAATACTAAAAGATACTATGGGCAAAATATTGAATTATGCAGAAAACCTCAAACAAAGATGGAAGGAGTACAGAGAGTCACTGTACCAAAAAGAAAGTCGGTGTTCAACCATTTCAAGAGATAGCATATGATCAAGAGCCAATGATACTAGAGGAAGAAGTCCAAGGTGCACTGAAGGCATTAACAAATAACAAACCTCCAGGAATTGATGGAATACAAACTAAAGATTTTCAGCAAACTGATGCAGCACTGGATGCACTCACTTATCTATGCCAAGAAATTTGGAAGACAGCTTCCTGGTCAACTGATTGGAAGAGATCCATCTTTGTGCCCATTCCAATGGAATTCCAATAGAAGGCAGAAATCATTGAACAATATCATTAATATCATATGTGAGCAAAATTTTGCTAAAGACCTTTCACCATGAATTTAGAAACCATCTCAAGAACAGAAACAACAGAAAACCATAAGAATTGTGAGATGACAACAAAAATATTAAACAGGAAAAAAGCAAAAGTTCTTTAAAAGAAAGGAAAGAAATAAAAGACCAAAATGGATGTCAGATGAGACTCTGAAACTTGTTCTCCAAAGCAAATGGAAGAAATAAGGAAGTAAAAGAGATTAACAGAAAATTTCAAAGGGCAACTCAAGAAAACATAGTCAAGTATCATAATGAGATGTACAAAGACCTGGAGTTAGAACAGCAAAAGGGAAGAACACACTCAACATTTTTCAAGCTGAAAGAACCAAAGAAAAATTCAAAGCTTGACTTTAAATACTGAAGGATTCTATGGGCAAAATATTGAATTATGCAGAAAACATCAAATAAAAACAAAAAAGATGATAGAATTACACAGAGTCACTGTACCAAAAAGAAATGGTTGGTATTCAACCATTTCAAGAGGTAGCATATGACCAAGAACCAGTGGTGCTGAAAGAAGAAGTTCAAGCAGTACTGTAGACACTGGTAAAAAACAAGATTCCAAGAAGTAATGAAATACAAATTGAAATGTTTCAACAAACTGATGCAGCACTGGAGGTGCTCATTCATCTATGCCAATAAATTTGGAAGCTACCTGGCCAACTAATATGAAGAGATCCTCATTTGTGCCCATTCCAAAGAGAGGTGACCCAACAGAATACAGAAATCATTGAACAATATAATGAATATCATATGAAAGCCAAATTTTGCTGAAGATAATTCAAAAACAGCTGCAACAGTAAACTGACAGGGAACTGACAGAAATTCAAGCTGGATTCAGAAGAGGACATGGAACAAAGGATATAATTGCTGCTGTCAGATGGATCTTGGTTAAAAGCAGAGAATCCGAGATAATTGTTTACTTGTGCTTTATTGACTACACAAAGGCTTTCAACTGTGTAGAGCATAAAAAGCTATGGGTAATATTGCAAAGAATGGGTATTCCAGAACACTTAATTGTGCTCATGAGGAACCTGTACGTAAACTAAGAGGCAGTTGTTAGAGCAGAACATAACAAGGGAATACTGAATGGTTTAAAATCTGGAAAGGTGTATGCCAGGGTTGTATCCTTTCACCATACTATTTTCAATCTGCATGCTGATCAAATAATCCACGAAATTGAATTATATGAAGAAGAACATAACATCGGGATTAAGGGAAGACTGTTTAACAACCTGCGACATGCAGATGACACAACTTTGCTTGCTGAAAACGAAGAGAACTTAAAACACTTATTGATGAAGATAAAAGACTTCGGTATGGGTTGCACCTCAATGTAAAGGCAAAAAAGTCTTCACCATTGGACCAATAAATGACATTACGATAAATGGAGAAAACATTGAAGTTGTCAAATACTTCATTTTTCTTGGACCCACAGTTAACACTCATGGAAGCACCAGTCAATAAATCAAATGACATATTGTTATTGTTTAGTGCCATTGAGTCGGTTGTGATCCACAGTGACTCTGTATAGGATTTCTGAGGAGTAGCTGGTGAGCTTCAACCGCTGACCTTGCAGTTCAAACCGACTTTGCAATTCAGCACATTAACCCACAGTGCTATATCAGGACGCTCCACAAGACCTTTTAAACTATTCAAGAACAAAGATGTCAGTTTGAGGATTAAGGGGTGCCTGACCTAAGCTTTGGTATTTTTAATAGCCTCATATCCTTGTGAAAGTTGGACAGTGAATAAGGAAGACCAGAGAAGAGTTGATGCATTTGAGTTATGGTGTTGGGGGATAACATTAAAAGTACCATAGACTGCCAGGAGAACAACCAAATCTGTGTTGGAAGAAGTATACCCAAAATGCTCTTAGAAGCCAGGATGACCAGACTTCATCTTTCATACTTTGGTCATGTTATCAAGAGGAACCAGTCCCTGGAAAGACATCATACTAGGTAAAGTGAAGGATCATTGAAATAAAAAAAGGAAGAACCCCAATGAGATGGATTGGCACAGTGGTAGCAACAACAGGCTCAAGTGTAACAACAATAGTTAGGAAGACGAGCAGTGTTTCATCATGTTTTGTATAGTATCATTAATTGACTCAATGGCACCTAACAACAACTGTCAACACAGCCTGAGTCCTTGCATGGAGGCCAAGATGGCGGTTGTTGTTGGTGGTTATGTGCCGTGGAGTCGGTTCTGACTCATAGCGACCCTGTACAGGGTTTCCGAGGCTGTAAATCTTTACGGGAGCAGAATGCCTCATCTTTCTTCCGCAGAATAGCTGGTAGTTTTGAACTGCTGACCTTGTGGTTCGCAGCCCGATTCGTAACCATTACGCTACCAGTTGTGCCATCCACAAACAAATCATGAACCTTCCATTTCCAGGGTGCCTGAGTGCCTTCTGACCAACAAGATGACTGGAGTGGACATGAGAAGACATCCATTGTCCAAATTTTCATTCTTCCCTATGTGGAAATGCACTCACCTTCTTCAGCACCACAAACTCATTCTCAGCCGTGGCCCTGAGCGCTACCTCTTCTTCATACCTGAGGAGAGAGAGAACAGGTGGAGATGTCCCTGGAGCTGAGGGCCTCAACTGGACAGTAGATCCCCTGATATTCTGTGTGTCTTCATAGAAGAGGCTTAGCCTCTCTGGACTTCTATTTCCCAACCATAAAAAAAATCCATTAAAAGGACACTGGGACTTTTAATCTAACTCCCTAGTCTATGGTCCCAGCTTTGATTGAAGTAGCTATAGAACCTAGGACAAATCATTTAATCTCTCTACATCTTGAGTTAACTTTCCTGGTGCACAATAAAGCACTTAATAAATGTTTGCAGAATGAATGAAAAACCAGCTGCTCCAAGGGTCCTCTCAGCTCAGTTGTTGTTAGCTGTCATCGAGTCAGCTTCTGACTGATGGTGACCCCATGTATAATGGGATCGGACCATTTTGATGCATAGGGTTTTCATGGTCTGGTTGCTCCAAAATAGACCACCAGGCTTTCTATCTTAGTCTAGAAGCTCTGCCAAAGCCTGTTCAGCATCCCAGCAACAGACAAGTCATCCCTGACAGATGGGTTTGACTGTACATGGGGTGCATTGGTTGAGACTCGAACCCAGCTCTTCCACATGGAAGGCAAGTGTTCTAACACTGAACCACCATTGCTCCCTTTGATCTCTAAAAGTACAGAAGAGCATCATGCTCAGTGAAACCATGCCCACGACATTCTGTTCCCCTTCCCCTGATGCCAGGCTGTTGGGCTCAGGTGACCCAGAGCACTTTTCACAGCTCACCTGCACTAGCTTGGATCTGTTTCTGTTGCTCATGAGACTTTACCTCTGGAATAGCTCTGCCTCTGTCCACCAGGATGGTCAGCGTTCCCAGAGCACAATTTTCATAACTTTTTAATTACAGGGTAACTTGAGCTGTTATAAACTACCAGTCTATAATTATCAGCCCTCACACCCCCGGAATGGGAGACAGAGCTCAACACCAGAAAATTGGGAATTGTATGCGCATTTGCATCACCCCAAATGAAGACCCACTACTGGATCCATCTGGATGGTGAAATCTGATCTTCTAAGATGAGAATTCCAAGGAAGGGTAGAACTACCAGGACTGGTAAATGTCTAAATCATCTTTTACTCTGTTTATTTCTGCAAGGTAATGAAGTTCAAGTTGACAGTTTACCCAGTGAGTATAGATGGGGCAATGGCCAAAATAAGTAATTTGAGTTCATACAGAAGATTCACACTACCAACTGTGAACCCTGACAAAACAAGAACCTAAGTAAAGGAATCATCCAACGACACCAGTCAGATCATTTATGTGATATTTTCTCCCAGAATTTTTCTCTTTCAACCCGCCATAGCGCTGACTGTTCCCCAGTCCTACTCTTGAGCCCTGTGGACTTAGCTCCTTCTTTTCTATTTGTTCCTCTCTCTCCATCTCTGAGTCAGCCTGTGTCCTGGATGTGTGTCCCACCACTTCCAAACGTGGAGCTTTTCTTCTCAACAGATCTCTCTCCTGTCCCTTAGATGGGGCTGCATAAGGCAGAAGCCAAGATAAAATGGAGCAGAGCAATAGCACAGAACAATCTTACAGGTGATCTGGGATGACTTAGACCTTCGGTGCTTTCCACCTCTGGCAGAGTTGTGTGGAACTAGCCCAAGACCTATTCCACTTCCTATAACTACCCAACCCAGTCATGCTCACTTCCTCTTGTAGCCCTCCAGCGCCTCCTGCACGTGGTTGAGCTCCGAGGACAGCCTCCCACTGTCAGCCTCGACACACTCAGCCTCTCGCTTCAGCGTCTCCATGTAGCCATTGAACAGGGGTTCCAGGTTACTCTCACAGCAGCGCTGGTTCTGGTAGAACTGCCACTTGGTCTCCAGAAGCTTATTCTGCTGTTCCAGGAACCGCACCTGCCACCCAAGGTGGGGAAATAGACTCAGGAGGAAGCCCAGGGAAGTGTACAATCTCCCAGAGTGCTCTCTGCCCTTGGAGATGACCCCTGACATTCCTCAGGAGGCCAATTCATTTGGCAAAATCTGGAAGTCCAATCACAATTATCCCCCACCACTGATTTCCCCCCATCCAGTCTCCATCTCCCAGGAAGAGGACATTATTTACAGCAACGTGCTTACTCTGCACAGAATTAAATCATATCTGAACTTGGAAAGATACTTCAGATCTGTGTGGTAGGCTAAATAACGAAGCCCCAAAGGTAATTCAAACCCACCAGCTGCTCCTTGGAAACCCTGTACATTATGAGTTGAAACTAACTCGATGGCACTTAACAACAACAACAACAAAGATACCCATGCCCTAATCCCTGGAACCTGTGAAAATGTTGCATTGCATGACCAAAAGGGTTTTGAAGATGGAATTTAAATTATAAAGCCGAGGATCAGAAGATGATTCTGAACTATCTAGATGGACCCAAAGTAATCACATGGATCCTAAAAATTAGAAGAGAAAGGCAGGGCAGTGAAAGAAATGCTCAAAAGAGGGAGACGGAGGAGGGATTTAAAATTTGAGAAGGACTCAATCTATCATGGCTGGCTTTGCAGACAGAAGAAGGGAAGTCATGAGCCATGGAGTACCATCAGCCTCTAGCAGCTGAGATCCACCTTCTGGCAGACAGGAAACGGGAGACCTCAGACTCACAATCAAATGAAACTCAATTTGGCCAAAAGTCTGAATATCCCTGGAATTAGATTCTCCTCTAATTACAAGGAAGAATGGCAGTCCTGCCAGCATCTAGATTTTGGCCTTGTGAGATAAGAAAAGTGTGTTGTTTTTAACTTCTCAATTTACGGAAATTAGAATGCCAGCAATTAAAACCCGAATTCACCATGATTCACCCTCATTCTGATCATGAGGCAGTGGAGCACAGGTGGGGAATCTCTGGACTAGGGGTTCGGAGGCCCCTCACTGGCCTAACTCTACCACCCACCTACCAAAGGTGACCCACAAGGTCATTTTGCCTCTCTGAGCCTCCATGGTAAACCGTTGTTGTT